AAATCATGGTTCCCTTGGAAGTTTAAGGTCAAATATCAGTCTGTGATACAGCCAGCAATTGTTCCTCTCTGTGTTTTGTTTTTTGACTTTGGGGGCGGGTGAGGGAACTCCATTGTGAATTTTTGTCAGAACAGTACAGTGCAATAGGGTCATGGGAGAGGATATGGCCTCATAACGGGAAAAAATTGTTTGTCTTTTTATAATTCTGTTATGAAATTGTGTTTTTTCTTATAATTAATGATCTCTGATCCTGTACACTTGTACCTTTTTGTGTTTTGTCAGAAATTTTGACTTTTTAAATGTTTTTTCCTATTATCCAAAATTCTAATTACAACCTAAACGAAGCAACAAAAAATCCACACTAGCACCACCAAGAAAAAAAACATTTGAAATACCTAATTGTTATTATTATTATCCTTTGCAGCAGGGATCTTAGATCTGTTTTGCTCAGTGATAAGATCTTTTTGATATTCTGTCTAGTCATTAGAAACCAATTCAGTAATTGACAGCTGGGTTTTGGATTGTTTTTATTGATGGTTGTGTGTGGGGTGGCATTTTTTTATTTTGTTTTACTTAATCTGTTCAGAAGTAATTTGGGGCCTGTAACGTATCTTGGTCTTTTCCTTTTAGGGCATAAATTATTATTATTATTATTATTAGATTATTTACTGTTCTAGTCCTCTACTCACTTTCTTTATATTCTAATCAGCTGCCTTTATTACAAGTTTGTGCTCTTGGTTAGTTAATAGTAGTTCATTATTTATTACAACACAGAGAAGGGAACAGATGCAAACTGTCAAGGAAAATGCTTGTGATGAGCTCTGTAGTCTGTTTCCATCTCTCTGATCTGCACTGTACTTGAAATCATTGATTAAAAAGATGAGTTTTTACATAGGATATTAAGCAATGTGAGTACTTGGACATGGGTAAATACGCAAGGTAATTGTAGATGAGACACATTGTCCCACATCCCTATCAGTTATTATTTTTTCTTTCCAGAGCAATGGCATCTTCTGGTTCCCGTGAGCAGTTCTTACGGCAGATGGAACAGATTGTGGAAGGCATCAAACAGAATCGAATGAAGGTCAGGCTCGCTTTCTCTTCTAGAACCTGGGAATTATTTCAGAAAAGCCTCTTGGATAATAACTATAAATGCAGAAATTCATTATGTGAGGTGCGAGCAAGCAACTTGCAAATACTGTCTCTTTCACATCCATAAGGAACTGTTCACCACTAAAATGTTAAGGGACAGAGTAAAAGAGAGAGAGGAATCTTGTACCCCTGAACTTTGTTACTGGCAGTGTAGTGACTTAGCTCTTTGAAACAGCTGGTTCAAACATCTCGCTGATGTCCCTGACGTTAATAAGAATTTTTTCCATTTGGGCTGCATAAGTACAGCCAGGCCTATGTCAGACCCACTTTCTGGATTTAACCTGATGTAGAAAAGACTAGGTGTTGCTGCTGAATATGTTGTGCTCACACAGAAAATGAAAAGGCACTTGTGGGTGTTTAGAGCCCCAGAGTTCATGCAGAGATCAGAATCACTTCTGGTAACTCTTAGTGGCTATTCTGTGAAAGCAAAGCCTCAGTGGACTTGTGTTACATGGGTTTGAGGCAGTGCATGCACACAAAGCAAACATGAGGTTCAACAGCTACTCCAGCTGAAGCTGTCCATGGATTTATTTGCATACAGTGGGGTTGTTTTAAGTACCTGGTAATAACGGTTACTAACTTGTAATTATTGTGTTGTATTACTTTATATTCATATAGAAATATATTTATATACCATTAAGGGGCTTTGAGATGGTTTACTCTGTAGAGCTAGAAGATTCTTGGTAGTGGGTTATAGTTGTTCATTTGAGTTGAAATAGAAGTATGGTGTGCTTCAAATCAACATATACTAGAGTGTGTACTAGAAAAAGCCATCTTTCTAGGTAAAAGACTGTTTTATCTTAATAGCTAAGCAGAAGTTTCAGATATATAGAAAAAACAGGATGGAATGCAACTCAAGCTATCATAAAGCCCTTTGCACTAACAAACTCGTAAAAACATATTGACTATAGACTATTGCGTTGGAGAACATTGTTTTCAAAGAGGACAAAGGACAGCAGAATAGTGATGCTGGTGTTGTATGTATGGGTCATCTTTCTGTTACCAAGGCTGATGTAACGAGTAAGTCAAGGTCAAACTGAGATTATGAAAATACTTCAGAACAGCGCAGTTCCAACGAGCGTAGATGAGGTTGAAGATAATTACACTTCTTTTTGGAAGAATTACATTCTTTTAATTGCTGTAGCAAGCAACTGCAGGAAATTAAAACTGCCTAGGAGTTCATTGTCTTGTTTTCTGTCTTGACCTCTATTACACAGACAGAAATGAATAACAGCACAATAAGTCAAAGGAGTGAAAGCAGAGCAAAAGCTCTGCTGTGATGTTCTTCAGGCTCTTAAAAATGAACTCTTAAATCTTCGAAGACCATTAAAATCATCAATTGTTTCTTACACTTTATGTGCATGTGTGTATTCCTTATACAGTAGCTGGCCTTTTATCCTTCCTGTATACTTACAGATGGAAAAGAAGAAGCAAGAAAACAAAATGCGAAGAGATCAGTTGAATGATGAATACTTGGAGCTTCTAGAGAAACAGAGGCTTTACTTTAAAACAGTGAAAGAATTTAAAGAGGTAAGAATGTGTTTGTTTTTTTTTTTCTGCTAATGTAAATTGATGAGTATTTGAACTGGTAAATTGTTGGTTAAGAAGTTCTGCTCAGGTACACTGATTGTTTTGAAGTGTGTTATAAACCTTGCTTATGTTTAGGAGCAAAGGAGCAAATTTCTAAATATATGTATTTGTCTAGAACTTAAAAAAAACAAAAACAAAAACAAAACCTTTCTGCATTTCTCTACTGTACCTCAAGAGTTAAATCACAAAAAGTTAGCTGTCTGAGGAAGCTGCCAATCTCATTTTGAGAATGAGTTTTGTAGTACTACCTAGAAATGAGCAGCATTTGTGTTGTGGGAATGGATGAATAGCTCTCTGCTCATTAGCAGAACTGTGAACTTTTCTCTTTTTTGCAAAGCTCACGATGTAGTTCACTGCTGCATTTCTACTCAATCAGAATTTAAAGGCAACAAATGAATCTGCAGCAGCAAATGCTTTCATTAGGTATTGGGGCCAGGCAGCACCTGACTTGCTGGTACATTAGTTCTAGCAACTACCTGGAGTTAAGGTGGGATTTCTGGAGGAACATCGGCGTGACTGACTGCTCTCACTGACGTCAGTGGCAGCAGAGGCAGGTCCAAGTTGTTTTATTTCTCAAGAGTGAATTTGCATAGTTATTTTAATTAATCCGCTAATAGTATTCCTAAAAGTAAGAATGGGTTTAGGTTTATTAATGCCAAGACAACTAATGAGAGCTATTTTCCTTTATTAAGCTTACTGCATATAACATACATCTTTTGGATGAGGTTTTTAGACCTTTGAGGCACCACAAGAATGGGAAGGAAGGAAAATTTGTGGAATTGAATTCATATTCCTCCTACTTAGGAGTAGACAGTGGAAGCAATTCAAATAGGTTATGCCATCTTGAAACAGACATGCTCTTTGACACTTGTTGCTTAAAAATCCCATAAAACTGGGGTACGACACAGAAGCCCAGTAATCAGGTAAGAAAACTGACTACATAATAACTTCAGAGCTTTGCTAAAGCCTATCAGTGGATAAAGGAGTGGGTTTGCATGTTTTTGTGTTGCTTCTGTTTTTCTGAACTTCATTTTAAAAAAAAAGTCAATTCAAGATTTTAAGGCTTCTAAACATGTGTAGGCTTTAATGTTCAGTGACCCATTTTGGCTTGACTTAAGCATTTACTTGTGCACAAGTGTTCCTTACACTGCTTTTTGCACCGTGTTAACAATGTCTCTTGGTGTGATTCTTTTATTCTGAAAATTCCTTTGTCACTGATGAGCAAGCACCACTCTATGTTAAATGGGAAGTACTAGTTTGTTACTGAGTAAGCTGTATATTCAGGTCTCCAAGCAGAATCTACCGGAGATCTGTGAGCAGCAGTTAGGTATGTGTGAGTAAGGGAGGGAATCCAGAATCTTTGTAGTTCTAAATACTTTTAGGAACCAGCTTGTTTTCTAACCCCTGTGAAAGGACTGATTAATACTTCATTGATTTAGCCTTGTCTGAGTTAATCATAATGTGCTTCTGTTAATTACTGTCTCCATGATAATAAATGAAAGTAGTGCTGCCAGGCAAAATTGTTGTTGGTTTCAGGTGTTTGAGGGGGAAAAAAGACTTCCTGGTTTATTTTGAGACAGCTCCTTCCTGTTCTGGATGATACGTGGATTTTATTTAAACAAAAAATAAGACATTTGTCTTCCTCTGTCTTTTGAGGCACCTTCAATCTTGCTGTACTTAAAAATAAATAAAATTGTGGTTGTGGTGTTGAAAACTGATGGTATGTACCTGTGTAAATACATTTCTTGGAGTTTTTCTGTAAACACTGACTTTTTTTTTTTTTTGCAAACTGTCTTGTAACTTTCTTTCAGAATTAGAGGATTTGGTTTGCTGATGTGAAGATCTAAGTAAAAGAGTTGAGAGTTACTACTTAATTTGTTTCCTTTCTATTAACAGGAATGTCGTAAGAATGAAATGCTGCTCTCCAAGCTGAAAGCTAGCTCCTGAACATCTCCGGCTGGTGAAGTTTATACATGATTGTTCAGTCCATACATCAAATCTTTTTTTGTGAAGTGACGGTTAAAAATGCAATTGTAGATATATATATATATATATATATATATACATAAAAAATTATATATACAAAAAAAATATATATATACAGACACAGATGTAAAGTCTGGGTTTCTTTTCAGCATGTACTCTTACATTCCTTCATCAAAAGGCCATGTTATTCATTATTGCCTCCACTACACAGTAAAGAGTTAATGCAGTACAGCAAAATAGAAATTATTTATTTGTTTGTTTTTCACAGAAAGAACAATTAAGATGGTTTTTATTTGGGCTTTAACACTGAAGTACATCAAAACTCTGGAATAAGTAGATATGGACTGTTTAATATGTCCGGTACCATAAGATGAGCACTGCAGGATGCGATAGCTTGTTAATTTTGGCCAAAAAATAAACACAAAAATGGTTCTTGAGACTCTTCACCAGCTAGTAACTCCATATTATTTTAATTTACACTCCTAGCTATAGATAAGATTCCAAAGGATAAAAATCAATTTCTAATGGTCAAGACAAAAGGAAATGGAAACTTACCTTGGATAATTCCTCATGTAAAACTATAGATCTATATTTTTATAAAGTCTAGCTGTTGTATAAATTTCTTTGAAATTTCATTTTTATATATAGAGTATGTGCTTGTTAAATTAATAGCTCCAGGAAAAAACACCCTAATCCCTAGGACCATCGCATTATCCCTAGCTGGGATGAAAATCAAAGTCTGTGTCAACTGTAACATAGGAAGATAAAGATTCAGACTTTCTACTCAAATGAACTGATGCTCACCTTTGAAGACAACCTATCTACCCTGCCGAAGATCTGTCCTTGAAAGTTTAGAAACTTTGTGGAACACTTTCTGAAACACTTTTATATCTGTATATACAGTATTTTATAATTCAAGCAGTTGTTTTTTGTACTTAACATCAGGATTTTGGACTGACTTAATGTACATCACATATTTTGTTCAGGAAAAGGAAAAACACATTCTTCTTCCCCAGTAACATTGACACTGCTGTTAGATTACTTTCTATGGCAGCACATATAAAATAAAAAGATGTTTAGAATCCAGTGACCTTCTGCTATTGTTTTTGAGGTGGCACTTTAGGCCATGTTAAAGGGCAGCTTTAGAAGCCTTAATATGCTTTTGAATTACAAGTGCATTAAAGATGAATTGTGTAAATGTAGTATTTTGATATTCAGTCATAGAAATGTTTTCATGTGTCATATAGCATTCAGTAACATTTTCTCTCTTGCTGCTCTTGTTAAGCTTGATGTTTCAGTATTTGGGATAAACTATCAGACCTGCTGTATGCCAAGGGGATCCATGGAAGGGTTAGATGTGTCTTGCACAGGCATCTGCTCACCACACAGAATTCTTGGTGGAGATGGTACACGTTTATCACGCTACCTGATTCCACTTCATTTGAGGACAGGAAGGTTCGATAGTTGTATGTGATCTCATGCAGAGCCTGTAGTGTTAAATGGAGAAATTTATGGATTTGTTAAGATTGGTGTAAGGAGATTGTTGACATTCTGTCTGGGTAAGATGTGGTGAGCTACCCCAACCGTGGTTGGCTAGATTCAATGTGTTGTGCCTTCTCATAAACAAGACTCTGTTTTTGTGACAACCAGAAACACTTTTCCTGTTCCTTCAGTACAAATAAAAAGAACCTTTGCACTGAGCCAGTTTGTACCTTACTCCCCCCAACTAGTTAGTGACTGAATATGAGCCGGCTGCTTCTCTTCATATGTATTTTAAAAATCTAGGCAAAATTAAATACTGGAGTACCTGAGGAAGGAGATCTGGACTGAGTGCTACTTGCAGACATTCTCTAGTCAGCTTTGATAGCAGTAGACATAAATGATGTCTACAAACTTTGCCCTCTGTAAAATCTGTAATTATTCTTCTAACGTGTACATTGGAGGTAGCATTTCTTCTGATACTTGTGGGGAAATCAAGAAGTAGTATAAGAAAATGGCACTTCTAACAGCCAACTTTGTTCCTCCTCCTGTTGAACATGATGCCTGTCAGGCTAACTACTTGATCATTCTGTCCCCAGCCACTTCTACTGTGGAGGAGCAAGTGTACATCATGCTATGAATACTCGTGGGAAGGTGATTTTTGGGAACAGTATCCATGATGCTCTAGCACTATAAATATGACAATCCTGCTAAACAGAACCAAACAAATTAATTTTGGATTCCACTAAAATGATGACAGCTATTTTTCAAAGTGAAAGGCAGTATCAGGAGGTAACTCTTAAGTGGAATTCTCAAAGACAGGAGGATGGTTCTTAAGTGGTTATGTTTTCGTTTAAAAATGCTCATTTTCTCATTTGCTGCACTTTTTCATCTTCTGAAGCTCTTCTGAAGCTTTTGGATTTCTGCACAATCTGTGGATTGATTCCAAGAGCACAAAAAACCTGAGACCTTAATTTATGTAGCACTGCAGGGTTCAGAGCCTTGCTGCAGGTTGCAGCAACGAACTTTCTGCTGAGCAATAGTCCCACTGAGTTCTAGGAACAGATTCAGTATGGGCAGAGAAAACTGGTGTATTCCAAATGGGCAACTAGTATTTGGGGAAATAAATGACCCAATGTTGGAGCACTGTCAAATGCTTACTTTTCAGAACAGCTTTTTCTTTTTTCTTCTCTCTAGTCGTATATTCACGATCCTGTATCGTTTACTGTAATGCACATGGGAGTTGTATTTTCCATATATTCTTTGGTCTGTCTTGAAGCTAAGGGTAACAGCACAGCGGTAATGTCAGATCTGAACTCTAATGTGTGAACTGCCAGAAGGAGGAATGCCTCCATGCTTCATTCTACTTTCCTCTTTTTTCAATTAGAATAAAGTTCCAAGTTTTAGTAGTGAGAGTAATTAATCACGGAAATAAAGTACCAAGGGAGGTAGAAAATTATGCACCGTTCCAGCTTTTTTAATCAAGGTTGATGACTATCCAAGAGATGCTCCTGCTGCACCAGGTTACTGGGTTTGGTACGTAAATCCATGGGTGAAACCTGGAGCTTACTGTGTGGGTGGTCAGGGGCTGGCAGCACCTGCTCTGCCATCAAACAGGAGGCAGCAGGCTCAGCCTTGACCCTGAGCAGCACAGTTCTCCTACTACCACCCCCCCAACCCAGCTTCTATGTGATTGAAATCCAGGATTTCACATCCTGAATATGTGTTGCTTCTCTTCTAAATATAGACGTGTACAGAGCCAGTGTGGGAAGCTGATTTTAAGAGCTTTCTAAAAGTGCACTGTAGTGAAATGTTTCTCGTCTCTGGATATGGAGCCAGGTTGCTCTTGGTGGCAGCACGTCACCGTGTAGCAAGTCACTGCTGTCACAGATGCTTGGGTGGGCAGAGCACAAAACAAGCTATCCTGAGAACTCACATTGAAACTATAAAGCCTAAAATTCACCTCTTAAGGAAGCTAAATGAATTTTTGACAAGGTGGGGAGTTCCAGTGCATGCTCCATCAGTAGCCCTGCTACTATCAGTTCTCAAGCTAGCTGAGACAGCCCTGCTGCATCACCAGCCTTTGCAACAGCATCAGTGCGAGCAGACAAGAATTGCACGGTAATCTTCTGGCCTCATAGTGCTGTCTCAAGTTCCAGATGTCAAGCCATGGTAAAGCCTCCAAACCTTTAGTTTGAACACCAGCTCTTCCTTTTGCGGGCAAAATGAGATTCACAAGGGAAAGGCTTATTTAAGTTGGCAGTTATGAAGCTGAGCAGCTATCTAACTTGCTGCTGGGACTCTGTTGCAATGTAGAGCTGCCATGCTAGAAATATTCAGAAACACTGTTGGCATCCTCCCTCAGGAAAGGGGAGGGAGTAAAACCCATTAGAGCGACAACTATGGAGAGACAGATTGAGCAGTATGCATGGGTATCTGTTTCTCATCCTTTTGTTATTGTTGGGATGGGGAAATTAAATGTTGGGCAAACAATTTAAGGCTTGATTCTAAGCCAGTTAGGATTTTTTTTTTGGAGTCACTTGGATCTGATGGCATCAATACCTATCTCATAGGAGGAGAAAGTTGATTAAAAAATTACAAATAGGGGAATTGATGTGGTTAGGTTGATGAGTACAACACTTACAGTGCAAGGACTCCGGGCAGCACAAACATTTCTAGTTTGTCACCTACCTCTGACCAGCATTACACTTGGCCCTAAACCTTCATGTAACCCCAGGGGACATAACTGACCTTTACTTCATCAGGACTTCCAGCTGAGAGCTGCTGCTTGCAAGAGAACGCAGCCCTTCAGTTATGCTAGGGTGTGGTTTGGGGCTGCTTAGTCACCCTTCTTAATTTCACATAGACTAAGCTTTGGGTTGAACGCAGCATATTTATTCCCTCCTTTCCAAACAAATCTCGAGAACGAAGCCAGCAGCCTGCCCGCATCTCCAACATTTCAGTGTTGCTCCCTTCGCAGTCCCCTCAGTGCCTTTGCTAAGATGAGCAGGCTGCAGGACGGCTCCTGTGTTTGCCTGGCTGGGATCACTCTGGTTGGCTTTGGCAGTCACGGTATTAGACACAACCAGCGCTCTGCTTGTAGACTTGAGCACACATTGCTTCAAAGAAAAGAAGGGAGATGTTCACTGCTTCTTTCTTTGCCAAACCCTGGGGCAGCATATATGTATTTCCAAATGGGAACTGCAAACTGTCGGTAGGTTTCTATCCAACAATCTTCCAGCTCCTTCACTGTTGCTAAATCCCCTTAAGTAGCTCTTGTGCTTGAAAACTGCATCTATCACAGGCACATCTCCTTCGAGAAATCTCTGCATTATGCAATAAAGGAATCACTTTCTCCTCCGTGTCCCCTTTTATCTCTGCTTTACAAAAAGGTTCTTGAAGGCATTGTTGTAATTTTTGTTAAATGCTGTATAAATGAGAGGATTAAAGAAAGAATTGGAGTAGCCAAGCCAAAGAAAGATGCTTTTCCAGACGGGTGGGATGTTGCAGGAACAGAGGGGACTTATTAATTCTGTGATGAAAAAAGGGATCCAGCACAGCACAAAAACTCCAATTAAGATGCCAACCATCAAAGCTGCCTTTTTCTCTTTCTGTTCCCTCCATGTTTCTCCATCTGTCTGGAAAGTGATAGCTGCATGACGAGCTGTAAACACCATCTGTGGTTCTTGCGAAGCTTCCTTCACCTCAAAACAAAAGCAAACACGGATTCTTACCAAGACGATTTGTTTGAGCGAAGTATTATTTTTAAATGACAGTACGACATCTGTGCACCTACCACAAAAGGCCGCAACTCATTCCTTCCACGTTAAAAGAAAGAAAATATCCCTGAGTGCCAAAAGTACCAGATTTCTCATTATGTTGGAAAAGCTGCTGAGAGTGACTGACAAACCAAGGTCAGCAAGGAGTCACCGATGCCGCGTGTGTTGCAGACGTTATTTTGCAGTTTATCTTACTGGATGCCTCGATACCTACTGGGAAATCAAGTTGTTAAGGTCGCCTAACAAAGGGAAGTACCTCCTGCAGAGCCCTAAACTAGGCTGTCCTGTGGTGTTACATGATCTTTAGGGTTTCTCAGGCCTGAACTGTAAATGAATTTCATTCCATGGCTTGTATCAACTACAAGATAAACTCATTTTCTTCAAACTAACTGCCTGGAGGCAGAGCTCAAAACCCCATCCCTGGGAGGTGCTGGAGGATGGCAACACCACTTACTTGTTCTTCAGAAGGAACAGAGCACACCCAAAAAAAAATCTGTCCGTGCTCCAGCTCCCCCTGAAGTACAGAAGAGAGGGGAAACGTCAGTTCCCCCAGGTGCCTCCTGCCTCCTCCTCTCTCATTAAGGTCCAGACACCGTCTGTGCAGTGAGCCCGGCACAGAGCTCCAAGGGGTGGTGGGACTGGCCATCAGCTTCTAAGCACAGGTGACCAGCATGCAGGAGCCTGCCCAGAAAATGGAGCTGACGGTACACAGACCATCTGTGTGCCTGTGAGCTCAAAGCTCTTCTGGGCACTACAGTTATAAGGACAGAGCAATACCATGAACAGTTCAAGGATGCAACGTGAGGCCCCAGAAGTTGCCTACATGCCCATAATGGCAAGAACTTCACCCGGCTCCAAAGGTGGCCCCGTGTTCAATCAGCCACATGTTCCACATGCACGGGCTGCCTCTGTGCAAGCTTCGTAAGGGCTGGAGGGCTGCTATTAGCATGGGCAGAGCGACTCGGAGGGGGAAGCGCTGGCGAGGGCTGGGCAATCACTCTTCAAGATGGATATCCCTGTCGTCGCCCTCCGACACGAGACGTGGCTGCAGAATGCAAGAGCGGCAGATTATGGGCGCAGGCAAATAATGGAAGGAAATGAAAATCACATCTGTCCTGACAATTAAAATGGGACACCCCTCACATAGCAACGATCACATCGTTTGTCTGCAGAAGGACTTGCTCCGCACATCTTTAATCACGCTCTGTAAAAAGGGATGGATGGATGACACCAGGGCAGATTTGTGACAAGCAGCCCTGAAAGGATCACCTCTTAGCCCTGAGAAATAGCTGCAGAGCTACGCTGCTTGGGGAGGGCCACACAAAGGACCATGTTGCTAGCACAGGGCACGGTTTGGTACCATATTTAACCTTCAACCCTTACTCAGAAGACAGAGTTCACAGCATCCCATCATCAAACCAGAGCCTTTTCTTCTCGCTACTTCAGATTTTAGAAGGTTTGTGGCTGAACTGCGGAGTTTACTAGCAGAGGTTTGTCTATCCCTTTATTTAATTTGGGAGAAATTTGATTTAACTTATTTTATTATACTCTGATCCAGCTCCTACTGAAACAGAGGAATTTCTGCAAGCTCCTCTGCTTGTTAGATCAGATATCTGGATACTAAACAGCAAGTGAAAACAGATTATGGTATTTTTTATAAATTACAGGACAGCAGTTCCCTTATATTTACATAATTTCCACTTTCTCTGTTTTCATAGGTACATTTTCAGTTTTTTTTTTTTTTTTTTTTTTTTTTTAACTAGTTCTGCTTGGGACTTTGGAACAATGTTGCAATAGAGCAGTCTGTTGCCTTAGGAAAAAGAATGGGCTCTCTCATAGAGCCTTCTGTTAAATAAGTAAATTGGGTAAATATCCCTGGCAGTCTGGAGATATATTGCCTCAATCTTCCGTAAGAAATCTTTTGAAAGGATTTAATAACACAAAAAGTTACTGAAAATGTAACGAGCATCCCTGCTCAGTGAGGCCCTTCAGCCAGTGCCTGCAACAGGAATTACATGTTTGAACCTTGGAGGCTGCAGAAAGCTCACCTCTGTGTGCCTGTCGGTGCCCAGCGTATTGCAAAGTGGGGAAATCCCAGCCTTTCACAATCATTTCAAGTCTTTTGGTTTTTATTGCTCTCTGTCTGATGTGCTGCAGACCTGATTCATCTTCCTGTCCCGGTTGGTGCAAGCTTCTCCTCACTGCAAGTCCCAGTCCCCAGGAGCGTGTTGTCTAGGCTGTTTGCTATAAGCCAACCCACGCGGAGTACGTGGAAGGTAAAGCAGTCTGCTGTAGGCAAACGCTGTTGCGGTACACGGAGCTGGCACGGGAACCACACTAAAGGATCCCCCTCATGCAGGCATAGGATAATCCATTGCGATTTGGCATTGCCTGAACAAGGGCACAGGCTACAGAGATTATGTAGCTGCTTTTCAGCCTTGCCAGTTGTTTCCTGAACAAAACACAGCTCTGACTACAGCAAATCTGCGGTTTCCAGTGCCAATCCTGGAGGCTTTGCATGACTCCAATTCCTAATGTAAGTCACAGTACTTGACCATTTTCTCTGTGCCATATGGAACAGAGGGAAAGCCCAGTATAAAACCTTTCACCCCATTTTGGGCCTATTGATGATCAGTAGCCAACGGGCTGTGGCAGGGGAACAGGTTGCCACAGAGTACACCTTAGTTCATAGCAGGGATGTTGCTCAGATGTGAGCACCTCTGCAGGGTGCTGAGCACCCCTCTCACTCAGCAGCTGGCAGCCCACTATGCCTTGGGCACAGGCTTCCTCCCCTCCACCCAGACTCCGCTCCCACAGCTGCGAGTCAGGAAAAATAGCTGGCATGAAAGCACTGCTGCTCTGAGGCCAGAATTAGCTTCTGAGTTTGTGAAATCAGCTATTTCCAGGACAACAGGCTCTGAGAAGCAAAGAGAGGGCCACTTTCCAGTGAGTGCCATAAAGAGATTTCAAGGAAGGAAATGAGCTCTTGAGTACGCATTCTCCTTCTACACTAAAGACACAAAGGAATCGTGGCCAAAAGGAGGTTGGTTTGGGTTTCAGAATTCGTTCTGCACATTCATCAGCAGCTCCAGCTCGGTGCCACTGCTGGTGTTTGTCCCTGTCCTCACTGCAGCTCAATGGGCACACGCAGCTCTTTGCGAAAACACACAGTCAGTTCCTGTGTTCCCAGCAGTGTTGTAAAGAACATGCCACCAAGGAGCTTCTGGGGAAATCTCTTGATTTAAGATGTTCCTTATAGCTTTAATGACTGTTATTACTGGTCCTTCGTGGCAGGTACCATGTGTGTTTGTACTGCACTTTGAGGGTCTGCAAGAACCTCTGATTTAAACAACAGTAAAGAATCCTTTTGGAACTTCAGAACCACCATGATGGTCCCGATATACACCAATTAAGTCTAGCTTATTACCACAAATTCAGAGTTTTGCCTGTTTCGCGGTGGTTCAGCACAGAACAAGATATTACTGCCTCAGTGCAGCTTTGGTGTACTTCTTGCTCTTTGAACAAGAGCACAAGAAACTACAATGCACAACAAAAGATCAAAACACAAGAATGTGTACACTTTTTTGGATGCTCCACCAATATTATAAATAGCACATTTGATAGGGAGAAGAATGCCTGCTTTCTCTCATGGGATTTTTTTTCTGCCGTCAAGCAGGAATAGCTGTGTGTCTCCCAGGAAAATCCCAGCTACTCCACTTTGCTTCCTGCCCTATCTTTTTCCTACCAGACATCTGCCACACCTCTTCTGCAAAGCTCCTCTTGTTTTCTGTCCCCTCTCTCCTACTTGTACAGACAGAGGCAGAAATAAGAAACTGATGTCCTGTGACACCCTCAGGACATCACCTTCTCTCACTCCTGCATTGTCCTGACCGTCTCCGTGGGCTGCAGTGGCTGGACTGGCCAGGGTGCAAAACAACGCTGCAGCTTCTCGAGCACCAGGACCTTGCTCACATCCCATCGAAGCCGTGGGAAGGACTCCTGCAAAACTGATAAGCTTTGGGAAGACAACAACAACACATCACCAGAACTTAATTTCTAACTCCTTACACTGAAATTTAATCCTGACCCTGTAATTTTTACATTTAAGCAACCCTGACTTGCAGATTCTGCCATCCTTGTTTTTGCAAAACTGATGCTACAGGTGACTCAATTGATTTGAAAGTGCATTATCCAGCAGCTTCTGCTGTCTTTCAAGTTGTCTCATTTATTTCAATTGGACTGTTTACAGGGAGAATTATTACCAACTGTCAACCAGGTAGGACAGAGTATAGCTGTCAGTGACAGTGTGTCACTGCTTTTTTCACACAAGGTTCATTCACATCAGTATTGACTGTAGAAGTCACTTTAATTCATTTTATGGAATTTCATAAGTAAACAAATAGTTATGAAAGCACCAGCCCACTTTAGCTCCCAATTCTTTGTTTGTTTCAAGAAAAATTAAGAAAAAAGTTCTCATTTTCAAAGGGGGAAGAGCACAGCACTATACTGTATTGTATTAAAACTAGAAGCACCTCAGCTGCCTCATGTCCATCTCTCTCATTTTTTTCCAAATACTTTCTAAAGTGTTTTTTTGAAAACTCAGTAAAATTTTAACCACAAAGTGACTCAAAATAGCTATTTTGTAAGAGCACAGAAACATACCCTTGGTATGCCACCCCTCAGCTTGGAGAGGATCGTCCCCTCTCCGCGTGCTTATATCCATGTACAAACCACTTCAGCACCTGGCTCTGTTGGCAGAAAAGCTGTGTTTAAAAACATCCCTGTATCATCATAATATTTTATTCAGAAAAAGAATGGTGACAGACAGGAGAGAGCGTAGAGACATTAGGGGAGAAATAAATGGAAAAATAAAGTAAGCTGTTGGGCATTACAGGGGAAGTGGAACAGAATTAGCCCCATCAGAGAGAGGGCAAGGGCTGAAGCTGACAGCCAAATCACTCCCAGATATGGAGAGGCAAATCCAGATCCCCTCACTAGGTTTGCACTTCCCCTGGAAATGTTATCTTTTTTACCACATTAAAAAATATACATATTTTATTTTATTTTTATTTTTATTTTTCAAAGGAACAGTAGTGAAGTATCTTAAGATTCTTCTCCAGAATTCCCTGGGGAACTGCTATTGTTCAGTGGGCATGACAGACCCTGCTCCTATGTGCTTAAATGGGATTGGAATAAAAATCAGTAAGTCTCAGCCTCTTAACTTAGAAAGGAAACTGAGAAGAAATGCATCCTGAATGCCAGCTCCCTCAATCCGCAGGTTAATTTAATGAACGTGTGCAGCAGGGTGTCAGAGTAAAGGTTTGCATGTGCATCACAAGTCTTTTTATTTAAGTCAGCAAACGAAGCTGATGGGACGATGGGGAAGGTCGGCAGTATACACCAACTGCACATTCAAGAAGCACTCTTAGAAAAGAACTAAATGTCAATCACTGCAAATATAAGATGAAGAATTGCTGGCTTGAGCACTTGCTGAGATTGTAATAATAGCTATACTGGCAAACGCCTCAAAAATGGGTATTCAGCTCCCACTGACAGGAACACTTTTGTCAGTACAGCTTCAACCAGCTCTCAGACACTTGCTGCAAACAGCACTTACCTGCCAGCTGAGCTGGGCCACGCACGGGCCTTTGCTGACAGAGCTGTGACAATTAGGAGCCAGACTTTTCTGTGGTAAAACTGCCTTGCCAACAAAGTGCCTACATAGAGACTAAAACTTGAGCAATAATGCCTCAGCCCAATTAACTTTCCGTACTTTTAGATTACCATTAGTCTCGTATGAGCGTGTGTGTGTAAAACAGAGCATGTAAAAACCCTACAAATACTTAGTTAGCTTTTGTGTTTGGAAAGATTGTAGATTAACTCCAAGCAATACATTCATCACACTTTGAACAACTTGGAAAAAAATGTGGTGCAAACAAGAGGATGGAGGCTGTAGGAGAAGAAAGGATGCCACTAGAAGAGATGTTCCATCTTTTCTAACGTTTTTTCTGTTTGTATAGAAGATAGCTTCAAAAATCAATTCACACTATAAACATCTTCAAGACATCAGGACACAAATATGCAAGTATGACCACATATAACTGCCAGGGCTGTCATCTCTTGCTAGAAACCCCAGACTTTTATTTATGACCATAATAACATGTTGCCTACCATGACTCAAAATCAAATTTAGAGGGATTTAGTGGATGAGTGAGGATTGGCAACAGCTGAATAGAAAATGCTCCATGTCTCATTATATAGATCTAACAGCCACATACTCATCTTTTGTTATTGGGAGAGGACTGGACTTTGTAAGTACAACATGCAAACACAAAAATACCACAACAAATCAGTTCCACAGCTCAGAACGAGAGTATGGGTATGTGACAAAGTGAAGAGCTCACAGTGAGCATTGCTGAGCACACTTGGCATGGGTGACAACATCACCACGCAAAGACTCTGACTTAATGGGACACAAGGGGCCTTCCTCCATCCTTCCTCAGGGATGCAGCTTTCCCTTCAGTTAGTCATATCCCTGAAACAAACGAGACCTCCCACAGGTCTAGGGCTTTGCAGGATTACCAGGAACACCCTGCTCTGGTACTATGCAGCGAGCACTATGTTCCCACTATACAAGGTAAAATAACCCAAGTACATAAATAAAGTGTTGAATATAATCTGCTTACTAAAATCCCTTCAGATACTGACAGATCCTGCAGAGATCCTACATAAAGTCTGTACTGGCAGAAAAATGTGCATGCATTTATTCTGTATGTGACCTAAGGATTTGTTTATGTCTTTGTTTACCCTGACTACACTGTAAAGAGACAAAGAGAAAAACAAAACAATAAGGAATGGAAAATTCATAGTAAAGGGACAATTTTTAAATGGGTCTCAAGACTTGCAGTGAATGCACCTGTCACATATGCTCACAACACATGTAAGAAAAAACAAGAATAAAACTCTTGGGGCAGAGTAGCACTTTTTGACTGGCTAATTACAGCTCAGGTCCTGATCATAACTGAGCTAAATTCATGACAGCCCCGGGGGACATCTCAGTCCTCTCACTATGCTGAAACCACCGATGGGTGCAGAGGTGAAGCAGGGGCACAGGCAGCAGGGGGAGGCAGTGCAGGGTCTCCTCCCCTTCCCTCACCCTTACCTGGGCAGCCTCAGGGAGGGGCACCACGGCGTTCCTCTTGCGGCCCCCGATGCGAAACTTGGCCGCCTTGTAGATCTTCCAGTAGACGAAGAGGACCACGCAGAGGGGCAGGTAGAAAGCCCCACCGGTGGAGACGATGGTGTAGGAGGGCTCCTGGCTGACCTGGCAGCGCTCCTGCTCGGGGCTGTAGCTCTCCCCCCAGCCAAAGAGGGGGGCGAGGGAGATGGCAGCTGAGAGCGCCCAGGTGAGTGCGATCATGACGTTGGAGATGCGGCGGCGAGTGAGCAGCGTGTACTCCAGGTGGCGGGTGATGGACCAGTAGCGGTCCAGGGCGATGGCGGTCACGTTCCAGATGCTGGCCGTGCAGCACAGCACATCGAAGCAGACCCACACGAGGCACAGCTCCCGGCCCAGCCGCCACCGCCGCCCGGCCGACAGCTCCTTCACCAAGCTCAGCGGCATCACCAGGGCCGCCACCAGCACGTCCGACACCGCCGTGGAGGCCACGAGGTTGTGGGGCACCCGGTGGAAAGCCTTCACCCGCAGGATGGTCGCCAGCACCAGCAGGTTCCAGAGGAAGGTGGCGATGGTCAGGAGCACCAGCAAGGTCAGGATGAGGACGGTGAAGATGGAGAAGGGCTCCCTGCCCCTCCACGAGCTGCCACCCACCAGCGCGGAGGCAGCTGAGGAGGCGTTGGCGTCCATGTTGGACGACGAGGCGTTGGTGCCCATGTTGGCTTGACACTGGCCCCGGGGGGCGCAGGGACTCAGGGACTCCGCCATACCCGGGATTTCAGCCCTTCCCTGCCCTCCTCTTCCCTCCCAGCACCTCTCTCCCCCTCCCTCAGCGGTCCCCCTCCGGGTGCTGTCGCCCCCCGCAACCCGCCACCGACGGCAGCAGCGGGCACCCGCGGCCGCCCGCTCCCTCGGCTCCCCGCTCCCATAGCGGGCAGCTCCGCTACGGCCGGCGGGGCTCAGCGGGGCCGCGGCGAGGGGCAGGCACGGGGAGGCGGCACCGCAGCTCCTGTCCCGCCCCAGAGGCCGCCCCGGGGCCCGGAGGCGCCGCCTTCGCCGGTTTTTAAGCGGAGCCGCCCGCCTGCTTCTCCCCGCAGCCCCCTCAGGCGGCCTGGGGTCTCCTCACAGCCCCGCCCGCCATGTTCTACTTGGCGCCCCCGCCGGGCAGGCTGGTGCTGGTTTCGGTGCTGAACCCGAATTATTTCTAGGCTGCGGACTTAACCAAGAATTTTTTTCAAAGGGACCGGGAACATCTCCCGTTTTCCTGCCTCGCAGCAAGTTCAGGGCACAATTTCTTCACGAAGGGCGCGCACCCAGCCTCCAAAAGCACGCCCTTCTCCCGGCAGTTTCGAGGAGCTACCCTCAAAATTGCTGTGTTTCAAGAATAACTTTAAGCCTGTTCTGCAGCATCTTTTAAAGTCTGTAATGGACGTTAAGGGGGTGATATGCATCAAGGAGTGATGGCAATGAGCTTCGCTACTTCCCGAGTGAAAAATGGTGACAACTGGTGTGATGGGATCATATACCAACTTGGGTATATTACATTTAATGCTGTGATTGAGGCATTTTATTTAAGGTTTTTGTGAGGGATGCTATATTCCAGCTTGCTTTCTCTCCTAGGGTCCTTTACAACCCATAAGTGGCCTTGCCACCCCGTATCCCCATAGTCTGTGGCCAGGATGATTTCAGTGGAAGTTACTGGGTGAAACACAGCCTCTTTTCCAGTCACCAAGTTACTCAGTGCTGTCAAGAGCTCTCCAAAGGTATCTGAAGTTTTTCACAGCCGAAACAAGCAAACAGGATGAGAGAAGGTCAGTGAAGTTTGTTTCCTTGCACATAAGAGACACAGACACCATAATCATGGGCTGCAGCAGGACACTGGGACTGGGAGGGTTGTTAGCTCCTATCTGAAGTAGAGAAGGAATATTTTCTGGGTCAGGGCTATGAACAGTCTTGCCTAAATGACTGCTGCTGAAATCAATGTTCTCCCTTTGCAGTCACTCTCACTGATGAAACAGGACTATCTGACAGAAGAGAAACCTCTCCCAGCACCACAGTTACCCACCACAAGCAGGGTCTAGCTTGGCTTGCTCACGATGCCCAGCCTTGAAAGTTGGCACAACAATGAAAAATTACAGAAATGAAAGACAATGACTGTAATCAGAAAAAAAACAGGCTGTTTTGTTTTGTTAATTTCTGGGTCCATTTCATTTTGCCAGATGAACAACAAAAAAGCAAGCAAATTCTTTCCCAGGTTCTTCACATAGACATGGATTTAGTTGGTCTTTCCTTTAGTAATTCTAGCAAATGTTCTAATGTAAGCCAGCAGCAAAGAGAAAACTATCTACATTATTTAACAGCTTTTATAATTAGGAGAAAAGGACTTCTGTGTCCTAAATATCTCTTTGCTACCTGAATTTGCCCCGCTATCTAATAAGCAGAATCTGACAGAGCTTCTCAAAGAAAGCTGTTTACACTACTACTGCAAGTAAAGCCTAGAGCAGCACCTGGAACAATTAAATACTAGTGAAAATTTGTCAGGGTTGGCAGACAGTATGTGACTGCTTCACAGCTACCTTCTCATGCTTTGTCTTTATATTGTTCCTTTGTAATTTGTGTCTCTTTTTGTTAATTAATGCTGCTTTTAAAATGCCAGCTGAATAATTATCAGACAACATGTTATTCCTTTTTAAAAGACACTCAGACCTAAAAGCAATAAGGTAAACAAGCAGATAAAAAGGTCTTTTAAATTCTGAATTTTTCAACAATTGCCAGACCAACTCTGTGAACTTAATAAAGGAATTTATGAATCTTATCACAGCTTGAATGACTCAGCTATTAAAGAAAGAGTGAAAGCAAGCAAACCCAGGCTAGCTGCAGTAAGTTTAATGTTTGGGGGCCCAAATAGACAAAGATATGATTTTATGTCAGTTCCTGTGCCTGCAGGAAATGAAGTTGTCTTTTTCTTATGTTACTTAATGTGTGGTCTGTGGCCACTGTTAAAGCAGACCAGGTGATTTTGAAATCTTTCAAAGAAGCCATTTCTCACCCTCCTCTACTCCTATTATACATGTAGGTCATCTGCCACAAATGAATAGTCACTTTCCAGTCCACACATCAAATGCATTGAAATCTCCCACTTTTTCTTTCAACTTGGCTGAAATAATCTAGTCCTATAATATGGAGGCTTGAAGAAAGTCTCAAAAGGATTTATTTTTTCTTGATAATTACCCCACTGCTGTCTTGTCCTGTGAATGCAAAGGCTTAGCATTCCTCAAAGATTGCTATGGCAACACATTGCAGTGTCTCAGGAACAGGGTATACTTTGAGAAAGAGAAGGGGGAATTTTAAAAAATGAAGAGGCTGCAGGTATTCAGGTATTGTAAATAACAGAAAAGAAAGTAAATGTTATATAAAAGAGTAAGAATTAAAAAAAAAAAAAACATCAAGAAGGAAAAAAATCAAGCTCTAAAACTGATAGTCTTCTACTGAAAGTATAGGACCATCTACTTTAGTTTTCTGTACAGTTGCAGCATTGCGAGTTGCTATCATGTCAAAGTGCAATGTGCAATGAAAACAATGAATATTCTTTGTTTCATTCACTGAAACTTTTCAGCAACTGGTACTTTTCAGAAGCCACAGCCTGCGCTTTCATAGTTTCTTCTCTCAGCCAAGAGTGGTAGTGTGTAGGCTCAGAAGATATCTTATATTACCAACTGTTTCATTGTTCTTAAATAAGCAAATAAATATGCAGCTAAAGAGTTGGAGCTAGATAATGGAGCTAAGAGTAAATACAAAATATCTTTCCATCTGAATGTTTGGAGCTTTGTGGGCTGAGAAGTGTAAGGGATACAAAACACAAAAAGGTGGAAAATAGTGATCTGTTTATAGTAGAAATACTTTACATCTTCCTTTGCAACTTTTCTCATCTTTCCCTGGTGTCCTGAGAATCGCTTAGAGAGGAAAGGACTTGTGGTTGAGGTGAGCAAAATAACAAGTTACAAAATTTTTCCCAGTCCTTATCACTTTACCAAATACCATCTGCAAAATTGACACTTATGACTGCTGACATTGAAATGAATCTTGTCTGATAAAATTTTTTCATAATTATTTTTTTTTCTGTCAGTTTGAGTGTTCTTCACATAGCTTAATCCTCTCTGCACCCTCACAATTCCTGTCTAAGATCCCTTTGGTACAGTTGTACTAAAGAAAACTGACTTCATTATAGAAAATTCTCTGTTTTCTAGCACTTTTAAGGACACTGTACTTCTTAAGAACAGATTTGGAGGATGATGATTCATCCAGATAACAGAATTTCAATTTATATGAGCTGATGAGCCAGTTTTCATATTCCCGTTTGCTGTATTTTTTTTTAGCAAATATATAAGATCTAAATATAGTTTACATTTTTTCAGAAGTTTGCTTTTATCTGTTAGAAATAGAAGCAGATTATTTTTAGACTGTTTTAAAGGGATTACACTGAACTTTACTGTTTTGACTCATTTTCTTATTTAGATACAACGGTCCTGTAAGAGCTTCTAGCAGATGCAGTTTTCTCTTGGTTCTTTAATAGAAAACCAGCCTCCTTCATAAAGCACTCTTCAGAAAACTCAACTATAAAAATCCTACAATAATTTGATAAAGATCTACAAAAATTGGAAAAACAACTCCTTAATAGTCCTTTGATAACTGGTTCCAAATTTGTATGATAGAAAACATGATAAAGGGAATCCAAATCTCACATAAATGCTAGATAGTATTGATTTTCTCAGTAATAATGTCTAAATCTTAGAATAATTTCCATTTAAATATCACTTTTATGAAACCTAAAAGGATGCAAGCCACTAAGTATGAGGTTTTTAAACATGAAGACTATTCTGCAGAGATCTGTATACCTGCATGAAGTAAGTTTGCCACAGGGGAGTGTGCATGTATATTCTTGTGACAGACCATGAATCCTATCTCAGATAAAGCCAACACGTGAATGTGAAGGAGATTATATAGTAGCAGATTAGCTGACATTACGCTTTCCACCTGTTATAACAACCACACTAAAAAACAAACAAACAAAACACCCCACCCCACCAAGCCAACAAAACCTCTCAACTAATGATCTATGATTAAATCTAATTCGCTTGTCCTTGACTGTTGGCTCCAGCAAGAATATTTTGCTATTATTTTGGTCAAGTAGAAGACATGGACTTTCCATTTGTGGATGTTTTTAAGTGTCAGGTTTAAAGTTATTTCAGACTCATCCATTGATTTCTATTTTAATTGGTGTCTGAGAAAGTCAAGGTGCCCCAATGCCTTTTTGATTCTTATTCTGACAAACTCCAAACCTGTGTTGAAAATCTTTCCATATTTGCGTTAAGTTTTTAATTATCCCTCACAGCAAAACAAAAGGGCCTCCGAATGGTGATGTAAGAAGTCCTGGGCTCCCATCTCTTCAGCTTCTGAGTGCACTGAGAGCAGAAGGAGCAGCTGTCACTGGTGGTGGGGATGCAGAGCAGGCAGACATTTGCCAGCAGGGACCAGTTAAGCTAGTCAGCCTGTTTTCCCATACAGAAAGGCTTTTATTAATTAGAAATGACAATGTATCAAGAACACTTATCAATAAGGAAGACCCACTAGCTCCTACAAACGCAGATGGTCTGTTAACCCCTATGAGTGAACATATAGTTTTAGTTGTGCAGAGTAACGCATTTAATATATTCCTGTGACTCAACATTCAATGGCAATTGCAACCACTCTCAAAAGAGCCCAGAAAGTACTGCACAGCTAAACTTCTTCAGATGACAGCAAAAATAAAGAGCTGTTCCAAAAAAGTTATACACGATTGTGCAGGGGCTACAATTTTCTTCTTTTTTAATTCTGACCAAGGGGGAAAAATAGCAGACAATTACATTTTTCAGTGTTGTAGCTTACAAAAGTGTTTGGGAAGATAAACTGCTATCGTAGAGCAGGCTCAGATATTTTTTGAAGGGTGAATGCAGTTCTTAAGCTGGATGACACTGATATAACAAAGTGGGTGCGTGTCTAGACAGCACCCTGAATTTCCATTTGTCTTCCCTTCTTTTAATGGCATCCATCCTCTAACTCTTCTCACAACTCCATATCAAAAGTTTATTATGGTGGCTAAGAGAAAAAAAAGTAATCTCTTCTCCACGTGGCTGTGCAATAAAGAGATATGACACAAGCAACATTATAGTATTTATGACTTTGATGCAAGCCAGCAAATTTTTTAGAAGCAAAGAGCATTTCAGTTCAAGAGGTTGGATTGCTATTGTCACAGCTCAACATTTTCTATAAATCTAGAGCAAACAAAAGCATTGGGAACAGTTGCATGAATTCTCCTGTCAAGCTAAGAACCTAAAATACTGGAGAAGCAAGCTAGTAGAGAGAAGTCAAGAGTAGAGACAAATTTTATTCCGCATATCTAGCCAGCTGATTCTAGGCTTCTTTCAGCATTGTTATTTTAGTTTGGGTGAAAAAAAAAAAAGGCAAACAAAAAAATTTTTAAGAACTAATAATATGCTATTTATAACATTCAAAAATGTTATTTTTGAAACAGGTATTGTCTTAACTTTTTATCTGTCTCACGAGAGCTTTAGCCTTACATTACTTGCTTGAAAGCCAATCATTAGGATATCTAAACCATGGGTAGCTCTTACACATGAAACAGTAAGGCCAATTACTGCCAAGATGTAAACACATTTCTTATTTACAGCAAGTAGGTACCCAGTTCATGTATTCTTGCTCTATGCTATCAATAAACATGCCCTCTACATACAACATTCACCCTGAAAAATTTGATGGCAACATTTTCAGTCTGGTTTTGTGCTTGTCTGTAGCTTGGCAGCATTACGGCATAGAAAACTTGTATTGTGACAAGATTTTTCATGATTATGAGCAGTAGCTTGGCAATGGAATTCTCCTTTATGGGCTTGTTCTGGGAACTGTCAAAAAAAATCTTCCACTTCAAGCAGGACAGTTTTGATCACCCCTTTAAGTGGTTTAAAGAGTCCAATTTCTTTGTCAAGGTTCTCAGAGAAAGAAGGCAATTTCTCAAGGCATACAATATTAGTCCCCAACCTATCAGTCATTGTTATGAGACAAGCCTTGAGAGTCTGATGGCTAAGGTCTATTAACTGCTCACAAGATTGATAACAGGCTAAGTTGCAAAGGAAACGGTAGATTTCCAATCAGTTTGACAATCTTTTAAACTTCTTGCAATACCATAGCAGAACAGATGTTGCCTGATACACAGATACTTCATCAGAAACTCTTTTTCATTTATGATTCCTTAAACAAAGTGAAAGGCAACTGCGCATTTGCACAAGCCAGGAAGCTGAAGCTCTTCTCTTTCAATACTAACTAGGTCTCAGCTGAGGAATTTTTCACCTGCTTACTCGGGAAATAACTGTATGCAACAGCCAACTACATAGTTGCTTCAGTCTGTGCAGCTATTACACATTCAAAATGCATAAATAAAGAAAATAAATGTTATTTCTTTAGGGTAAGCTAGAGCAATACCATTTAGTATTTTCATCTCCCAGTTGAGATTATTTCAAAGATTCCTACAAAGCAAAAATACCTGGGAGGAGTTGGACAATGTTGTGTGAAACCTCTACTTTTAATATCAAACTTCAGAAACTGACAGTGCCTCAACTCTTCCAAAGAAAAAGGTAGGTGGAGCTAGAAGTTGTCTAGCTGCCTGGAAAGCAGACAGCCTTCTGCTCCCAGAACGAGTAGGAATGTCAGAAAAAAGCAGTTCTCTGCAAAGCAGATTTTTACGTACATTGTGAAGCGGCAGGAATGCTGACGTGCTTTAAGCCCAGCCAGCCCTCTGTGCAAGCACTCAGACAGGCAGTCAATGCTCTGACACTCAACTTGCTGTGCCCATTATCCCAACTTTTTTCTGTTCCAAACTTATACTCCATACTTCTTCGTTAACATTGAGTGCTTGTGCACTTATCTTTACAGTGGTTTAGTGCAGCTTTCCTTACAACTCTTCCCAAGTAATTAATGTGGCAGTTCATCTAATGAGTTATTTCATTGTAATGCAAGTTAATTCCCATACTTGCAGCTGCACAGATTACAGGTGCAGACAGAACCCTTTAACTGTATGATGCTGCACACCTCAGATAATTTTTTAAATGTGCCATTAAGAAATAGACATGAGAGCTATTTTGACATCTATTAGTTATAACTGTATAAGCAAACCCAGAATCAACGATTAGATCTCAATGAGTCAGGCATCACACAACCAATTAGTATTGCTTATCCTACAGAGCAGATTCTGTTTTTTCATTATAATCCTGGAAGCATGAGACACTCAAACTGTGGTAACAGGAATCTACTTCAATATTTTGACACATTAGAAGTCCTTAGTATCCAACCAATATTAATTAAGAGCCTTGAAAAGCTGTCCATTAGTGCTAAAAGTGAGCTGTTTCATAAAAAAGAGTAAGAAAGGCAACACTACGTTCTGGATGCTGTAAGCACCCACAGTAGAAGGGTCACACTGTTTTTCTCCCCCAAATTATCGGTTTTCTCTGTGGGTAAAAAGAGAGACCACCAGTTTTTCTGCAATACTTCAATGCACGCAGCATCTTATTTCAAATCTGACATACTATCTCAAAAGACCTAAGGGTAACAGGTCAGTTTACATTGGAATAACTACAGTTGCTTTTATATTCTTAAATAGTCATGTTTTACAGTCTGGATGATACAGAATAAAGAAAATAAAAACTGTTTATAAATCACATGGGGCCCTGATTTCTGGATTCTATATTTTATTCCTTTCCTGCATTAATGGATGTACATTCCTGAAATATTATCCTCCCCCCCCCCGCCCTTAATTATCTACTTCTAGAGTGGTAGAGACCTGAAAATAATATATGTAATATAATTACTTTCCTGCACCTTGTGCTTTCTTTTCACTTACTGTCCATGCTTGTTCTGTTTGCAACATGTATTCGGTCCTCTTCCATTTCTCCCTCAAAACATCCTTTTAGGATACTTATACACCCCTTCACTTTTTTACTTGTGCACAAGCAATTTTACTGCTCACCACCTAAATCCTGTGGAAGTCTCTTTGCTTCATTGCATCAACTTTATGGAGCATTAAAAAAAAATAAAAAAAAAAAATTCCCACACCTTATCTGGGCTGAGTCCTTCCAATCAAGCAACCTGCTTCTTATTTTTCTTTGCCTATTCTTAAGAGAATACACTAGACATTACCAGACAGGTGAATTCAGATTTCAACAGACCATGAAGGAAAACCAAACATTTCACTAGAATGTTACCGTTTAATTATAACATTAAGAGAAACAGTTCTAAGCACATCTCTGATGTATATATTTTTTTATTTTTTTAAATCCTGGACATCCCATATGTTATACGGGTACCATGACTTAAAACAGCTACAAGCTCAGTCTTAATTTGATTCAAAGGACATGTTCTGTTCTGAAGAAATGTTCTTATAGTCTCCAGGATAGTTGATGGACAAAGAGTTCTGTACCACTAAAACTGCAGTAATTCTTGTGAACAAAAATCCTTTAATTTTTTTTTTTTTTTTACATTGTAAAAGTTTTATCCAGAGACCTATTAACTCTTCTGCATTTCTCAGCATACTGAAGTCTCTTGTAACAGAAGTCATCTCACACTGCAATCTGTCCCGCATTCTATCTACTCCAACAATTTCCAGGTGTGCATGTAAAAAGGATAAATATAAGCATTTTTTTCTATAAAAAGCTGAAAATATGTTTTCTTTAATAAATCTGTAGTATTAACTTGAAATAATTACAAGCATGGCAAAATTATCAGGCCACCTGTCTTTATTTTCCTTTCCAAAGAGTCCTCCTGCAATGAAAGATGTTCTTATAAACAAAAACAAATTTCCCTAAAAATGCCAACAAAGCAGTTTAAAATTGAAGTAACTGTCAGAGAGTTTTGGTGAAGGTAGTCTATTCCAACAGAACAAGCCATTTTAATGAATGCAGGATTAACGAGAAAACTGCCGATTGTCTGATTTCTTGTTAATATGCTTGAAGATTTTAGCTTTGTGGACGTTCTTTGATTTCTGGTAACCAAATCCTCCACCTCCGCCTCTTTTCTGTAGCCTTCTGCCTTGGCTGCTGTTCACATCTGGAATTTTGTGGGTTAAAGAACTTAAAAAAAACTAATTTGAAATGTTACTTACTAGGGAGAAAAAAAAAGTAACAGCATTAATATAAAAAGTTCAGTTGCAGAACTACAGGTCAAATTGAAGCTGTGCCTGTCATTCGAATGAACACTTTTATTCCTCCAGCCGTAGAATTAATTTGACCAGAGTATCACTGCTTCAACTTCTACCCACTGGCAGCTTTGACAAGAGGGGCCCTTGCCCCTCTATTTCCGTATTCCATGATTAAACTTAATTACACACCTTTCAATGAAAATTATGGTGCATGAAGAACAGCACCCTGGAAGATGTATGCAACATTCCAGCACCTGCTAACCTGCAGCAACTGAAGCATGTTCATGCACTGAAACAGATGTTTGTAAACACTAAAACTGGAAAAACTGCCATTTAGGATTTTCTTTTATAAACCATTTTTGAGCATGATGCAAGCATGTGATTAAACAGCAAAGCCAAAACAAAACAAAAACCAGAATTTGAAGTAGCATAGGTACTATAGCATAGCAGGAATTCAGCTTTGAAACACTGCAGTAAAGGATACTGAGGTCAACAAATGGAGGGACTTTAAAACCAAATGAAAGGCTGACTTTGTTAAGATCCAGGTTATTGACGTTATATATCTGCTTCAGAGAATGGGAGTCATAAGCTCTAATGTAGGCTTTGTATGCTTCCTGGGCTGACTTGTGAAGAAAGTAGTTCTTCTCAATCAGTTTCTCCAGCTGGTGAGGAGGAAAGAAAAACAGAAGGCATGAAATTATGGCTGTAACAACTGTATAAATTATGTGCAAGCAAATTATTTACTGTGCAAGCTGCAGCGACATTCACTACTCACTTCAGTAAGACTGCACTGTGATATGTGCGCGTGCACTCTGCTGTTACAGTGCTTTTATAAACAGAAAAACAAAACAGCCTGAAGTGGAATTCTTCTATGATGCCTGTCTCATTTGACTTCTAGCATACATTAATTTGGCACACTAATATTAAGTTACATTGTGTGTCATTATTTCATAATTGTTCTTAACAACAATTCTCTTTCTGAAAAGCCTGTCTTCAATACTTCTTGTATTGCTATTTCAAGTTTAATTTATTACAAAGAAATTTTACAGAGTTCTTATGAAAAGAATGACTCACAGAACTAAACAACAATAAAAATTCTTATCTACAAAACTATCTATGTTATTCTCTTCAACTTTGTGCTCCATTGCTATTTTTGTAGCACTGCAGTACAAAACAGATTTGGCTGATGTTGGGCTTTATTACCATCAAGGAGGTTAAAAATATATTTGGAATATACACACTAGCATTTCTAGGTGTTAGTACATGTCAAAGGCTGAGCAAATCATCTTAGAAGACATAAAGATATTCAGAATTAGTCTGAACATGCACAACCATTCAATGAAAGCTACTGGAACATCATGTTTAGTACGCTGGACAAGAACATTCTATTCAAGAGCTGAAGGCATATTTACATCATTATGATTTTGCAATATAACATGAAAAAACAATCCTTACAAGCAAATTCAGATGATGTAATGATGACAATTTAGTACTGGATATTAAAATCCATATTTGGTTTCACAACATTTTCTGTCTGTAATATCATATAGGGACAATATGACAGGAGGATTTACTACAGAATACTCACCTACAGGAACTTTTCTGAACATGCACATTATTTTTAAATGTTAGTTGCAATAGACTATATCATCTGCATAAATTGTTGTTATACAAATGTTCAGAGCACCTTTAGTAAGCCATTTCATACCTGAGACTGGATATCTGAAATCTTTGACCAAGAAAATTCGAATTCACTGAGTGGTACCTTTAACAAACAAGGAAAATATCTACATTATGTATGTATTACTGTACAAACAGTTAATGTGTTTAAGACCTAAAACAAATAGGATAAGACCTGTCAGATAACAGAACACTTACTTTTTAATATTTTAGCTATATCTCTTAATAGATAATTATAACTGTGAAGTTCAAGGACATTTTCATGAGTGAAAAGATTACCTACAATTATTTTCGGTTTTTGACATTTTTTTTCAAAGCAATAATCACACTATTACTACCCGTTATCATAGATACATTCATAAAGTGCCTTTGCACCAATATATCAGTATTATCACATCCTTTCAACTAGCATGAAGACCCGCATTATGACACTTTTACCATTTTAGCTTTTCCTTTAGAAGCTACATCACATTAATTACAAGTGGCAAAATTCTGGACTGTAGAAAGGGACTCTGTAGAAAGGGACTAAGGAACTAGGAGCAGTTCTACCATATTAAAAGGGCTACACTTGAAAGAAGGCTACCTTTGTTTTGAAATTGATTAATTTTCTTTCTAAAGAAAAATAACAACTGCACTGGCCAAGCTCACAGTATCTTTCCATGATGGGTCATAGGAAATTTATTTCTTAATAACACAAGCTACACAGTTGCAAAGCAACTATAAATATACTCAATAGTTACTTTCGAGTCTAAGGTCAGCAGCACAAAGTCAGATGTTCAGTTAAATATTTTCTAAGCAACAGAATAGTTCTTGTTTAAAAGTTAAAGTGTTTCATTAATCATTACAGTTTTTGCCTTTGAAATCTTGGTTGCACTATGAAATCATAAAAAAAAAAAAAAAAAAGTCTACAGAAATTTACCCTGGCTTGTTTCAGGTAACGAAGAAAGCCCAGTTCTTCCGGTCGTAAAATGAGCAGAGCATGTCCTCTACCATTTATACCTCTGGCCGTTCTACCAACACGATGAATATACTCCTTTTTTGCAGAGAAGAAAAAACAGTAAGTCCAATCAGTCTTTCAAGCATTTAATAACACAGATTCACAAAAGAACATTTAACATTAATATACTGTAATGCATCATCAATTATGTTCTAAGAACATACACTGACACATGGATAAGGCAAACTAAGTTTTGACGATGCAAAGCACAATTAGGTTGAAACAGAAACCCCTGACTATAAGTATCTTACCTTTTATTGAGGGAAAAAGAATTGTAGTGCTCTGTAGCAGAAAATTTTACTTTGCTTTTGATATATTTGCTCTACATATTTGTCAAGACTTTCCAGATCTGAGTTGTTCTTGTTTGCACTGGGCATTTATTCTAATGAGAATTCTAATTTTTAAATAAAAATCAATTTTCCATTGAAAAAGCTGTCAGGAGACTCAAGGACGCATATATAAACCTCATGTTCCTTCTAATAGATGTTTTGTTTTTTAGCTGATTAGATTTTAAGTTACTTGAGTTGCATAAAGAGTAATGTTTTACAAAACTACTCTTAAAAATGTAACAGAGGTCTCAGCTAGGTGCAGCATATCCTGCTAGAATAAGTGGAAGAAATCAGCTTCCAGATGCTAACTTGGCTGAATCCTGACCTCTGTTGAGCAGAAGATTCAGGTTTCTTTACTACATATGTAGCTAGGAATTGAAAGTTTTTTATTTCCTTAACTTACTTTTGGATCATCTGGAGGGTCATACTGGACAATCCAGTCCACTTCAGGAATATCCAGTCCTCTGGCAGCTACATCAGTGCACAGCAGAATTCCAGATTCTGCATTACAGAACTGGAAAAATGTCGTGGTACGTTTTGTTTGTTTCTGCTTGCCCTAAAAAACAACAACCAAATATAATAAAGGCAGCCTCTTGGAGAGAAACAGAAAAACGGGCTACACGCAAGAGGATAAGTTAATATCAGTATTCAAACCTCATTTAGAAAACAGTAAGATCAACAGCATTGCAGTGCTCTCACTACATTGTTTTTACTTTATTTCATTCCTCTGCAAACTAATTGAGACCAGCACATCTTGTTAGCAGAGTATCTGTTTATTATAAACTGAAATGAAATAAATAAGGTAAATGAAAGATCTATAACAACTTACAGGTGTTATCAGATTAATTAAAAATGAAATCTATGTATAAAATACTTACATGAATGGCCATAACAGGCAGATCAATGTAGTTGAGTAATTCATAGTGGTACTTCACTGACATACATGAAGAAAAAAATACCATTAGTTTCTTCTTCCGGTTCTTCTTAAGGAATGTGAAGAGCAAAAGGAATCTTTTTTCAGACGGACATACCACATAACCCTGGAAATTATTTAAATGGTGTCAAACAAAGTTGTATGGAACACATTTTAGCTTTACCAATACAATTAAATCAGGGAGCTGTTATCTTACAAAACAGATGTGACAAATAGTTAATTTTCCAGCTATACAGTTAGAAACCGTTTGATATATTTCCTGTCCCTCACCATGTTATATTAAACTCCTGAAGTAGAGTTACAGCCAAAAGTTTACTCTGCTGATTTGAAATAATTCTCCAATGGAGAAGTATTTTTTCACTAGTTCTCAAAAAATAGTATTTCAATGAAGAATGGTTTATACAATAAAAATCCATTTCAACAACTTCTGAATTCTGATATTAGGTATGAAAATTACTGTACAGGCTTCTTAAAATTCTTTATAATTTCAGGAATTTTATCTAGTTTTTGCTACAAGTTTACTCTTTAAATATAATTTGTAACTGTACAACTGTATTTAGCTGGCATCTGAAGTAGCAACAGTGAAATCTATAGCATTTTCTAGTCTGCAACATGGTAACAGAATTACAAAGAGAACTGGAGCTTAAGTAGATAACATAAATAGGAATGGCAAACTGTAACTAACTATTATTATCCAACGAACTTTTTTATCATCTTTCCTGCAAACATCGACTAGATGCACAAAACTTACAGCTAGTAGAGTGAATAAAGCCCTTTAGGCAACTGATAGCTTTTGCCCAGTAGGATGTTAAACACTAAGATAGTATTTATACAACCCATTTAAAAACATATAGGGCAGTGTAAGTTCACAGCTGATACCCTTTTTAGTAAGGTGTGTTTTACCTGTTCAAGACCATCAACTGTTGCTGTCTCCTTGTTATCATCAACCCCAACATACAGCGGCTCTTTCTTCAGAGAGATCTTTGCCAGATCTTCAACCTTTCTGGTTTGTGTAGCAGAAAAAAGCATTGTCTGTCTGCGCTCTGAAAGTATTTTAAAAGAAAGCCTTATTTTTAAAAGGAGAACACAAATATCAAGGCCTTAACATCTTTAGCTACAAACTTCCCTGCGCAAGTCTTCTCTTTTTTTTTTTTTCCCCGCTTATCTTCTAAAGCACATTTTGTTTCTTTATGCATTGTATATTTTATTTACTTAGTGTGTTACCATCTGCAAAATCTTTATCTGCAAAAAGAAAATATTCTTTCTCTGGGAGAAATGTTAATTAGCATTTGCTCTTCAATTTAGAGACAACATTTTAGGTACAGACTTACCCTGTAATTCTAACTATAGATTGATTTAATTTTCATGGGTATTAAAATACTTTTGTTTTCCAAAACATGCTGCATACTTTTTATTTACTACTTCCATGCTTTTTACTGAATTTTGATAATTAAAGGGAGAGCCTTGGTGACTCTGAGATCGTGTTTTACATATCAATTGCAAGAAATAACTAAATCAAAGTAAGAAAGCAAATTTTAAGGCGAACACTGAAATACGCTTCTACTGTTCTTGGAAACACCAATAAAAGATCCAACTGCAAGCCAGAAAACCTTTTTCCTTATATTTAAGTTTTATAAGGAAATAATAAATTGTAGGCAATAAAACAGGCACAGAAAGATGAATGAGATCCTGTACGTGTTGAACTAAAAGGATCTTATATGAACAGAATTATATTCCTAAAGTACGTTAAGAAAACTCTGTCTTTGAGATGAATGATGCTAAATAAAATAATGCATACTAGCTATCAGGAAAAAAGACAGAGTAAGACAATCACTCTGAGGTACACCTACAGAACTATAAAAATTAATGACTTCTTTTACAATAATTGAGTCATAAAGAAGACAAAATGTTAGCCAAGTAATTTCCAAGAAAGACTTTTTTCTTACTTGGTAGAAGTTTTATGATCTGTTTCATTTCTTCTTCAAATCCAACCTCTAAGATACGATCCGCCTCATCAATTACCAAACACTGCAAATTCTTGTACATGAAACCTGGTGTGTTCTAGAAGATTAACAAATTGAGAGTCAGACAGGGACAAGTATTTTATTATGTTTTATTAAGTATTAGGCATCAGTATTTTACCTACCTGCATATGATCCAGAAGTCTTCCTGGTGTTGCTACAATGATGTTGATTCCATTCCCAAGTTTCTGTGCTTCTGCTGATCTGTTACTGCCCCCCATTATCAGACCATAGGTGTGCACGTGATGATTCATAAGTTCTTTAAGAACTCCATAGGTTTGCATTGCAAGCTCTCGAGTAGGTGAAAGAATAATAACACCCGTTCCTAAAGCAGACATCAACCAAACAAGATTAAGTTATGGAAACTCACACAATCCCCTTTGCAGTCAAATCAACACATGGGATTCAACCGTGAAAAGAAGAAAAAGCTTACCATTTCTAGGCATGAATTTTAACTTGTAGATGAGCTCTACTGCAGGAATGAGAAATGCAAGTGTTTTGCCACTGCCTGTTTTTGCGGCTGCTAAAATATCCCTACATGAAACAAAGTTACAAAATGAAGTGTTTAGTTGAACCTATAGGGAAAACAGCAATCCCATTTTGGATGATGTTGACAATGTAAAAATGTAACAAAGCTTAAAGGAAGCCAGTATAGTTAATACTAAGAAATCTGTGGCAGATCTGGTCCACAACAACTGGTCTCTGCCTCTATGGACTGTGCAACACACTGTACCAAGAGGCCAATGAAAACAGACTTCCCTGCTTTCAAAGCCAAATGCAAAGCAAGTTCCATGAACTTACCTCAGTATCTGTTCACAGGTAACAGATACAATTTCTTAACTTGTATTAACGTTTACAAACAAAATATTTTTAAAAATATGAGAATTATATAAAAAAAGCTGTAAAAAGTCACATCTCATGTATTTATCTTGCTAGCAAAATTTCCACATTTGTTGTCAATATAGTTATTAAAAACACATTTCTTACCTGCCTTCCAGAAGAGGTTTAATACTTTTATGCTGAATTTCTGTCATGTGCGTAAAGCCCATGTCATTTATGCCTTTCAATGTATTCTCACTGACAAGACCATCAAGGGATGTAAAAGAATTGTCTTCAAAACCACCTGAAGAGAAGGGAAAACAAATTTCAAACTTATTTCTTCAACTCTATCCATCCCAAGATGACCCAGTTAGAATTGATGTTAAAAGCATTTTTTCTCATTCCTTCGTACCACAAAATCCTTAGATGTTGACAAAATACTCTGTATTAACGGGTCCCTAGGAATACTGCAGACAACTGTTAACAGTGTATACGAGTGCACTGACTCTCATTCTAATTTATTAGCCATACACCTCCATTTCACTGACATTTTCTTCCATAATGAAATGTGTGTGCGTCTGTTATAAAACTGATTTTCACTAGTAATTTTAAGACCAACAGAAGTGTAGATATAATGCAAATTTCAAAGAACAGTAACTGAAAAATAGCTCTACAGCGGTCAGCATCATGCTACCTTTATTCAAACATGTAACTTTTATTGCAGATCTGAAAACTGCAACTTGCTCTAGAAGAAAGCTTAAAAACTTGGGATTTTTGTACATCTACAAAAAATGAGGACACAAGATACCTGTTAAACCTAGAGGTAAACTAGGTACTTCATCCTCTTCCTCCTCCTCCTCTTCCACTTCTTTCTCTCCAGAATCCTTCCCATCTTCATCTTCTGCCTCCACAGACTTGTCCTCCTCGGTTTTTGCTTTTTTAGTTTCTGTACCTAGGGTGTTATTTTTACAGAAAACTTGTTAATCGCAGTAAGGAATATGAAAAACATGTTCATCATTAAAAACTGAGCCAGACTTATTTTCTTTAGCCCGTAAATCACTGCTATGTTGTAAGGTAAGAGGGATCATGAGAAGGGGTGGCAAGGTTTCCATGAAGCCTTCTGATGCAGATAGCAAGACATTCATTCAAGTTCCTTGCACACAATGCACTTTGCATCGTAAACCAAAGCAGCCTAGAGTATACCATGTTTTTTTTTCCCGGGGAAATGACAAAAGCATGATCCTATGGAACAAATATGTTGGTTGCTACTGACTTAGTATATATTAGAGTTCAAATATTATAGTTAGAATAAATGATTAGAGAATGTAAACCTCAAGAGTATTTAAATATAAATGCAGTACATAGGCAAAATGTAATAAGGACCTATTCTCTACTGTTATTGTGTAACAGCTAGCTTTCCATTAAAAGTATTTTGATGCACATTCAGAATTCTGTATTTGCAAAAAAAATCACAAGGTACCAGCTATTGCACTCTTTTGCTTTATGTTTACTGAGTAAAAATTGGGAAGGAGGAGATTAATTTCAAATTAAGTTGTTAAAACCCTAAGATGCGTTTTCCAGTTATCCATCCAATTTCTTTAGGATCATTTCTTACAAAGCATATAAGGAGCGGTCCTTCCACTCATTAGTGTACTTGTATCCCTAAAATATCGTAATAATACAAATCTGTTTTCCAGAAATCACTAGAAACACTGAGTGATAACCACCTCTTTCACCAGTGTAATCTAGAGAAACACGACAAATACAGGCAGGGCTTTTAGGTTTGTGCATAAGCGGAATCGCCACCAGAAACACCCGACCCAGCAGCATGTGCTCTCCTGTGCTGGCAGCGACCAGGGCAGGGCCCCGAGCTGCAGCAGCTGGGCACAGACAGTAACAGCTCTCAGGTATATGCAGACACCCCTCAGATCTTCAGCTACTTTCTTCTACTTGAAAAAAATACACCACGGAAGATCTCCAGGGCTCTAAACCGTGCACCAGCCCAACCAGGGCACTCCTCACAGCCAACACACCCTCTCTGAAGGGGCACAAAGCAGAAAGAAGGCTTTTTTGTTGTTAGGGAATGTCTCAGCGGTGCTTCGGCTGGGCAAATGAATCCCGGCATACCGAGGAAGACAACGCACCGTTCTCGAGAGCAGCCGCCGCCTTCCTCTTCTTCTTCTTCTTCTTCCTCTTCGCCCCGGCACCCTCCGGGCACGGCGCCGCCGCCTCGGGGGCTTCTGCCTCGGGGGTCACCGCCTCAGGGGCTTCCTCCGCTGCCTCCTCCTCCTCCTGTTCCTCCTCCGGGGGGCTCAGCGAGGCCGCCGGAGGCGCTGCCAGGGCAAAGGAAACAAGCTGTGAGCGGCGGAGCACGGCCGGCGGCCGGGGAGAGGCTCCGCGGTCCCGTCCCCGTCCCCATCCCCATCCCGGTCCCGGCCGTACCCGCCCGCTCGGCCTCCCGCAGCTTGAGGTTGCGCTGCCGCAGCTTGAGGTTGCGCTTGTGGATCTTCTTGCGGAGCAGCCGCATGGGCAGGTTGCCCGCGGCCACCGACACCGACATGGCGGCCACACGTGGGGACACTGGCCCGGCACGGCACGGCACGGCCCGGCCTCACCTCACCCGGCCCGGCCCCGCGCCGCCTGACGGGCGGCCCGCAGCGGCACCCAGCGCCTCGGCGGAGGCAGCGCCGCGCTCCCTGAGCCCTCCTCTTCCTCCTCCTCCTCTTCCTCCTCCTTTTCCTCGCCGGCCGTTACCCCTGAGAGGCTCCACACCTCCCTGCCAGCCCCTCCACTCCTAGTGCTGGGCACTTCGGCCTTCATCCCTTGTAGCGTTCTCCTCATCCTCTCCCAAAGGGGATGAGCCCCTGCCATCTGTGCTGTTGGCAACGCCCTTCACATCTTTCGTGACCAGCAGATGGCACAAATAGCCCAGGAATTTACAGCGGATTGCTGGGGTTTCTCAGGGCAATGACGGCTATGGTCTTAGAAATATGAACGGCTGCAAGCTGTGTAATGCTCAGCCTGCAATAACTTGCTGTAAAGCAGATTTGAGCTGCAGAATTATTACTATACTAATTTCGAAGTGTTTATTGCATATAACATCTTCTCTTAAAGTTACTGCTGTCAGAGATGAAACAAAACTCGCTCTTCATTATAATCATTATCTTGATGTGTTCATATGGATCACCAGGATGACTATTACTATTATCATTATTGTGTCAGAACTTCGCCAGATGATACATAACATTTTAAAAAATATTTTATTTTTTAACTATACGTACATTCAAATTACTAATAGTTACTAAACTTTCACAAGAGAAACATGACAGATGGCCACTTTTCTTCAGTGTGAACGCCTTGCTCCAGAAATATGAGTCATTATCTGAGAAATTTTAGAAAGGAAGGTGTTATAAAGGCATGAGAAAGACAGAGAAATTATAAGGCATTTGCAATTCTAAAAAAATATTGTTGTTTATGAAAAGCTTGTGAAAGGAGGAGGAAGTATGACCAGGGAAGAAAAATTATTCTAAGCAGGCATTGCTGGAGCAAGAAAAGATGTCCCTGATTCTGTGTGATGTCTAGCAACACTGAATGAAGACCAAGCCAAAATGAAATTGTAACACTTTTACATTTTATCCTTGAAACAGGAGCCTTGCAGGTGAATAAAAACAAAATAACAAAACCATGCTTTATTATTATTATTTATTATTTTTATTTTATTTATTTATTTATTTTTTGAGCAGAAACTGAAAGCAAAGTGTCTGCTTGGCTAATTCTTTCACTAGGTCACTTTCCTTCCCAGGTACAAAGATGAACAGCTTCAACAAGAGGAACTGAAGAGTAAACCGGACTTCAGTATACCCCATGTTAAAACATTTTTACTGTTTTAATCCATATCTCGCTTCTTTTCCTTCTGAACTGTTAATATTTCATAACTGCAAGTAGTTGCCATGGTTGTGGGGCATTGCACCTTGCTTGCAGAAAAGTTCACAGGTGTTTGCTGTTGGGACATTCTGGACAGTTTGAAAAGTATGGTCTGTAGCTTGTTTTTTGAGATGCTGTACTTAAAGTTGTGGCACTGAAACTCTGAAGCAGGAAAGGTGACCATGTCCAAACTTTGACTGACTGGATAACGGGTCTGGCTGCTGGCTTATTAAACTGACAGAATAACTCATCTCCCTCAGTTGTGTTTTGAAAATAATGGAGCTATCCTCAGCAAGAAAGGCTTTTGGTTCAAAACTTCAGGGGAAGTCAGTTCAAGGTTGAATTTTAAGCAAGTAACAATTTCTTGCTGAAAGTCATGTAATTTAAGTTCTGGATATATATTTCCATCTTTTCTCCCTGTCTACCTTATATTGTATCTACAAAATATATTGTTAATTAACTACAGGCTTGTTCTTCCTAGTCTGTACTGATTTATAGTTTTGTGGTTAGATTTACTATTTGGATGCACTTTTAACCCAGGCAGTGTTCATTGCTGGAATATGCTTGTTGCGCAGATAGAATGAATTAAAAATCTGGGCAGGAGAGAGCTGACACTAATACTTACACTGAGGGCAGAGAACATGATGTCCTTCAGGCATTGCATGGTCCAGATGTTCATATATCAACCAGTACTGCCAGGATCACCACCATTTAGCTTTTACCTGCACCATCGCACCTCCAGATCTGCCAAGAATTGGGACCTGAAAACCCTGTTATAGTAAAACCCTGCATAAAGAACTCTTCTTAGTGAGTCTCCACATTGGGTCCCAGCTGGCTTGGCAAGTCTTTGTGAAATTGCATTAGTGTGGCACGAGGCCCAAAAATGCTCCTGAGAAGGTATGTTAGAGCCTGCCGAGCAGGATATATTGGCTTTGCACCAGTCATGTGACAACACGATTTTACTGCTTTTCAATAAAAGCATGAAGCACAAGGAAAACTTCAATGCATTTAAAGAGAAACGATGATCTTTCATCTGTGTAAACAGATGTCAGTGCATTATGTATGGAAATTTGGAAATTAGGTCCCATTAGGTTGCTAACTATCATGTGCTCCAACATAGCTTTGTCTCGGCATCTTGTAAAAGTTGTTGCTTAGAGTTTGCAAAGTGTACTTAGCTGGAGATTTCAAAACATATTTTATGAGCTCCTTCTTTTTGTTTTTCTTCTTTCTCTTCAAGCAGGAACTGCAGAATGTCACAAAAAAAGAGAGTCAGAAGGCAATAATGATAATTTATTCATGACAGGTCCAGACAATATTTTAAACCACTAACTCATCTCAATATTTTTTCTCTGAAGTTTGGCATTTCTTAGATTTTATATGAATTCCCAGTGGCACATAAGTCTCATTTCTGTCCAATAGGTTCATTTGTAGTTGCTTGACTTGTTGGGCAATCGTTACCAACAATAGGATTTTCTCAAGTCATTATTGAGTTGCTGTCAAAATATCTCAAATTTTCTACACGTGATCTTGCAGGCAGATTTGTAGGGAATCACATTTGGGTTAGCTAAGCTTTATGGAGCTTAAGAAGTTCGTATTAGAACCTCTGGATTTTTCTCTGAAGATAAATGTTTTTAATACCTTCATGTGCTGTCGATGGCACTATTTTATCTCCCAGAGTAAATTCATCATGAAAGCCAAATTAGAAATCTTTTGTCCTACTTACCATTAACTTATTTTGATTAACAATGCAACATGAAAGTGATCATTGATTTCAGTTGCATAAATTCAGATACACAGTGCTAATTTATCAAAATCTCATACAGAAAAGACAATGAAACAAAAGTGCATAGTCATTTTTGGATACTTCAAGTTGTGACACATTGCTGAGTTAAGGCTGACAGGCTTGATTTTCAAAATGTAGAATTGATGAAAAAATATTTTTTTGTGTGTCTTTGGTTGGCTATGGAAAAAAAAAACAACAAAAAAACCATCAACAATGTCACTGGTGAACATCTGCACCATTGAGTTATAAATGTTGAACTAAAAAACTAGTATTTTTATTGCTTGCAGCCACACTAGAACACCTTTCAGAAGCATATTTTCATTTTTACAGATTACAGTTTTCCCTGTTAGATTACATTTATTTGTCATGTCTAATACATTCTGGACAGGCACTGGGTTTAAAATCAAGTATCATATAGACAGATACCTCTTTTTATTTTTTTAGCAAGTGTGTTTAAGTTATGCAAAAAAGATCTGTACATGTATGCAAGTGTGTTTCCAGAAATAATCAAATTTCCCACTTACTTGAGACATATAATTCTAAAACCTGGACTTTGGAAGAGAAAGATTACCTACCTGAACTGATGTAAGTGGTGTGGATATAGATACATAAGGACATAGATATATAAAGACATATCACATAGAGAACAGATGGCTTAGTTTACAGAACATTGATGTCAACTTGAAAATTGCTGGTTAGAAATTTCTGGTGCACACCATATTTCCATAGGGTATCGTTGAGTAGCATTGAATCTGTGAGGGAATTTAAAGTGCACCTTTGAGTTTAAGATAGAAAATTAGAGTATGTGTTTGTAAAATGCAGACTGGGCTATTGTAATCACCATTTTTTTCTCTAATGTTTTTAGTTTAATACTGCTTCCAAATAACGTCTCCCCCATGGGTCATATGGAGGTATTGTTTCAGTTTTAACTATCATCATCACACTTTGTCCAGCATATAGAAAACAGCTAGATTCAAACCATATCTGTGAATTTTTCAGGAAATTTCTCATTTTCCCCATATTTTACAACTTGAGCAATTCTGTGTGCCAATTGTAATGTAGACTGACACATCTCTGAATGTGTTTCAAATCAAAACCAGTGCAGATCTGCAGCCAGAATGAAAAGTGGAGAGGGGCTGAACTGTATTTTATAGAACACCTTGTACATTTTGCATAGTTCCTGTGGATTTTCTGCTTGAGTGTTTCTGAGAAGCAGTTTAATACTTCAAAGTGTTAGGCCATCACGATTGCTGTTATTAGTTCATTAAAAGGAAGACAATATTATAGAGTTGTAGTAACATGGATCATGCAAGGATAAGGAACTGAAATCATTTTAATTGTTCTAATGAATGACCCCTTATTTTATTCACACAGAGGACCAATGTGTAATCTCACCCTTGCAGACTTCAGCATGTCTGGCCATGAAATCCTTCTGTCTCACACGATCTCAATAGCAGGAGTCCAGGTTACTGCACTAGTCTGAGCTCTTCCTGAAGCGATGCACTCAACAGATAGCAATGAACAGCTTCACATCCACCCACTTGACCCTTCAGTGCTAGAAACCCACAAAATTGATTGTGAGTTGCATAGAAAAGCAATCAGAAAAAAGGGATTCTTTGAGAAACTTGCTGCTCCAACTTCCATTGGGTAGTCCTCTGTCCCACATCTGTTCCAGATCTGTCTCAGATCTTTGGTTTGACTATTTATGGTTAAAAGAATTTCTAGTCAATAACAGTGGCTGAAAAAGTTCAGGATTAAGGCAGTGTGATTTAACACATAACACTAGGAATATTTTGAAGGAACTTCAAAAGTCAGCTGTGTCTATTTGTTCCTGTCTACAACTACATCGTTGA